TGGAGTTTTTGGGATACCTCCTGGACAGTCAAGGAATCCATCCCACTGAGGACAAATTAAAGGCAATTAAGAAGGCCCCCACTCCAAGGAACAAGGCAGATCTACAGGCGTTCCTTGGACTTATCAATTTTTATAACGTCTTTTTACCCAATAAAGCAACCGTAGCTGAACCATTACATAGACTCTTAGACAAAAAAGCAACGTGGGTTTGGGGACAACGTGAACAAAACGCTTTCCAACAAGTAAAGAAATTGCTAACTTCTGATTCTGTACTTATGCAGTACAACGAGACTCTGCCGTTAACTATTACTTGTGACGCCTCACCTTTTGGAGTTGGAGCAATCCTGGCCCACGTATTACCGAACGGAGCAGAAGCTCCCGTCGCATTTTTTTCACGAACTTTAGCTAAAGCTGAAAGAAATTATAGTCAGCTGGATAAAGAAGCTTTAGCTATTGTGGCGGCAGTTAAAAGGTTTCATGAATATGTGTATGGGCGTGCGTTTACAATAATTACTGATCATAAACCACTACTGGGGATTATTGCGGGTAATAAACCAACCCCGTATATATTGTCCCCCAGAATGACCCGCTGGTCTGAATTCTTGGCGGCGTACAACTACACCTTGCAACACCGCCCGGGGAAATCAATTCTCCACGCTGATGCATTGAGCAGAACACCGCTTCCAGAATCGGTTGAAGATCCAGCCCCAACCATCACAACGTTGCAAATTGAAACTCTACACGCGCCGCCATTGACGGCGAGAGACATTGCCCTCGAGACAAAATGAGATCCGGTCCTGCAACACCTCCTATGCTGGGTTGAGCGTGGTTGGCCAACAGAACAGCTATCACCTGAATGGGCGCCGTTTAAAGCACGCCAAACCGAACTGTTTTCTCAAAAGGGCTGCATCTTGTGGGGCGATAGAGTCGTAATCCCGAGCAAACTGCAACGAACTGTTTTAGCGGTATTGCACGACGGACATCCGGGCATCGTGCGGATGAAAGCACTCGCACGGAGCTACGCCTGGTGGCCGGGAATCGACAAAAGAATCGAGGCCTGGGTCGCTACTTGTCAACGTTGCCAAGACGTCAGCAACGCCCCACCTAAAGCAAGCCCAACCGAATGGGAAACTCCGAGAGGACCATGGTCCCGTATCCATATTGACTTTACGGGGCCTACAAAAGGGCACACTTTCCTTATTACAGTCGATGCCTATTCAAATTGGCTCGAGATCCATCGAATGAGCACAACTACAACGGACTCAGTTATCAACAAACTAAACAGGTTATTTGCCACACATGGTTTTCCGGACGTCCTCGTCTCGGATAACGGCCCACCGTTCACAGCATTACCATTTGAACAATATCTTGCTGACCGGGGCATCCGCCATGCGCTGACCTCGCCCGTGCACCCTGCGGCGAACGGGCGTGCAGAGCGCATGGTACAGTTTGTAAAAAAGACCCTCCACAAAATGGAATTCGGAAACATCGATGAGAAAATCAATCGGATTTTATTGTTGCAGCACATCACGCCCCACAGCGTTACCAACAAAACGCCCGCCGAACTTCTTATGGGGCGGAAACTATGATCGCACCTCGACCGGCTCCACCCCACATACGCACCCGAAAAGCCTTTCGGCTCCAGCAGCAAATGCCGGGAATTTAAGGTAGGCGATTTAATCTTTGCCAAAAACTTCTCCGGCGACCCTTTATGGATACCCGCAACTGTTACCCACCTCACTGGGCCTAAATCTTACCGCCTGCTAACAGACGATGGGAGGGTGTGGAAACGCCACATAGACCAACTCCGTTCAAGATTACTACCCAGCGCCCATGGCTCCCCGGGTTCACCAACTGAGGGGGGAGGAAATATCGAGGAAATTGACTTCGATATGACGGATAGCAGGCCAACGGAAAACCTACGGCCCAGCGAAGTACCGGCGATTGAAGCGGGGAGGGAGTTGACTTTTCCATGGGACTTGAACACGGGGGAAACCGAACTGCGAAACCCCGAAGAAACACTGATTGGCGGAGACAACAACAACGGAAGCAGCACGGAATCACCGTGCAGCGAAATGGAACTTAATAAAGATCATCCAAATGCTCCACCGGAACCGGACTTGAGAACAAACCCGGTGGAGCCACGGAAATCATCCAGACAGACCAAACGGCCTGTCTACCTTGAAGATTTTGTTACAGCTCCCCTCAAACGGAACCCAAGGGGGAGGGGTGTTGTGAATGAATAAAATTACTAAGCCTAAATGCAAAGCAGGTTTTGGAAGCCTGCACATTTGATTGGTCCTTAAACAATGAACAAGGATTGGTTCATAACAAGCCCCTGATTGGCCAAGCTTAGGACATTTCTTATTGGTTATTAGTTGAACTTGATGCACTTAGTATATAGGGTAGCAGCCAACCCTATAAAAGGGGTTACTGCTACCCATAGCTTGCTCTGTTCTGTTCTATTTACTGTTAATAAAGAGTTGAAGTCACTGGTCAGATGTCTGGTCTCCATTACTCTCCAAACTTAACAGATAGGTAGGTAGGTAAGTATGGTAGATAAGTAGGTAGGTAGGTAGGTAGATCTATATTGGTAAATAGGTAGGTAGGTAGACAGACAGGTAGGCAGGCAGACATTTTGGATGGATGGATAGACAGACAGACAGACAGACAGACAGACAGACAGACAGACAGACAGATGATAGATAGATAGATAGATAGATAGATAGATAGATAGATAGATAGAT